AGGACACCACCGATCCTGGCAGAGTGATAAGCACACCCTGTGAAAAGGCCCAAGATGGAAAATCAATGGCACTCTGGCCACTGCCCTGAGCAATTAGAGATTAGAGTTAGAGGGAATTTATGGCAGCAGCCTGGACCGCCAGCTGTGCAGAACCAGAGTTAATCAGGAACACACTGGCTCCACTCCATGTGATAAAACTAGGAGGCGGAATATACAGGGGCTGGAGGGGCAGCTCAGGGTTGAGAGCGCTTGCTGCTCTTTCAGACTTTGGTTCTCAGAGCTCACATTCGGAGGCTCACAGCCACCTGTAACTCCAGCTCCAGGGGGTCTGACTTCTCCAGCCTCTGCGGCACCTGAACTCATATCCATTTACCCACATACATATACATCATTAAAAAAATCAAAAAGCAATCTTTTAAATAGAAAAAGTCAGGTGTGGTGGAGCGTGTCTTTAACCCCAACTCTCGGAAGGCAGAGGCAGGGGGATCTCTGTGAGTTAGGCCAGGCAGAACTACATAGTGAGACCCTGTCTTTAAAAAAGAAAAAAGAAAGAGAAAGAGAAAGAAAGAAAGAGAGAGAGAGAAAGAAAAGAAGGAAGACGCCAGACAGTGGTGGCACATGTCTTCAATCCCAGCACTTGAGAGGCAGAGGCGGGTGGATCTCTGTGAGTTCAAGGCCAGCCTGGTCTATAGAGTGAGCGCCAGGGCAGCCAGAGCTACACAGAGAAACCCTGTCTCAAAAAAAAAAAAAAAAACAACACACACACACACACACACACAAGGGAGGGAGGGAGGGAGGAAAAGAGGGAGGGAGGGAGGAAAAAGATTGAGGTGCACAGACATCCTGGGGATACTCCTGCTGAGGAAGGTTTATCTTGTATTTGATTTCCAGCTGAGTGGATTCACATCAAAACCAAATCCCGAGTCATTAGCTGAAACTCACACAACATGAACTTCTCTATTTGGTGGCAAACAGTGAATAGCATTTAACATGCAGCTTGGGGAACTGCCACCTCCATTCAGCTGCTCAAGGGATCTGTGTTTATGGGTGGCCACATAGTCTCCTGAGCCCTAGTGATGGGACTCTACTCTTGTCCTTATGGCTCTGTCCCTCCTGGACATCTTGAGCAAATGAAATCACAGTCTGTACTCGTATGCCTCTCAGAGCACCCTCCCCTCTCCACACCCCCCTCCTCTTCTCCCTTCCTTCTTTCCTGTTGAGCAGGATCTCTTTCTGTATCTGAGATTGGTCTCAAAATTGTGATTTTTCTAGGTTGGAGAGATGACTCATGGGTTAAGAGAGCTTGTTGTTCTCGAATAGAACCTGAATTAGGCTCCCAAAGCCTATGTCAAGGGTCTACAACCACCTGTAGTTCTAACAGAGAGAGACAGACAGAAAGAAGACAGACAGACAGAGTCAGACACACACACACACACAGAGAAATAATAAAAAATAAATTTTAAAATTTCAATCCTTCTGCCTCAGTCTCCCATGTGCTGGAATTACAGCTTAGTTATCATGCCTGGCTTGACCATCATATTTCTGGGCTTCATCCTTATTGTCACAGGAATCAGAATTTCTTTTCTTTTTATGGCTGAGTAAAATTCCACCATATAGGTAGAACATATCTATTCATCTGAGGGTGTATCTAGCTGCTGTCTATCATGGACAATACTATTGCAAATACTGTGTAGAAAATTCAGTTTTTAAGCTCTGTAAAAATAGTATTGATGAAAAGAATGAACAGATTAGAAGATACTGGAGTTTAACTTTCTGAAAAAAAATATATAGAGAGAGGGGGACAAGGGAGTCCTTCTGTGTATATGTTTGTCTCATTGGTTGGTAAATAAAGCACTGTTTGCCAATAGGGAAGCAAGATGGGTGGGACTAGGAGAGGTGGAGGATTCTGGGAAATGGAGGCACAGTCAGTCACCATATAAGATGCAAGAGGAGTAAGAGGTCCGGACCCTTTCTCCAGCAAGAGTTGCCAAGTGAATCTGGGAAGAGAGGACACATGAGGTTGGCGTCCTCAGTAAGATAAGACCTTATAGAAATATATATGTAACATATATATATTAGTAGTTATGGGTAATACTGAAGACAGAACTAGCCAATGAGAAGCCCTGGACATTGGCCAACAGTATTGTAACTAATAGAGTCTCTGTGTGTTTATTTGGGACTGATGCAGTTCTGGTTCCTGGCTCCTGATCCTCCTGCTGCCATCACCCAAGTGTTGGCATTATAGATCTATGCAACCACATGTGGTGTATACATTATCAAGCCCAAATGGTGACACAACCCACATATCTGCCAAGCATACCCCAGATGCAATAGGATGCTGTTCAGGATGTGCTGACATCTGTCAGGACATAGAGATGACCCTTGGGGGACATTATGCTAGTGTGATAACCCAGTGTTGGGACAAATACTGAATGACTGCATGTGCACGAGGTTCTTGGAGAAGTGCGATCCACTGACAGCAAGTGCATGATGTCCCTGGGGGCTATGGGAGGGAGCACAGCTGGGCGGGCAGGAGGAGCACCCCAACTTGTTCCAGGAAACCTAGTGTAAACTACTCAGGGCTGAGTTAGGAGCGAGGACACAGACTTTCTGAGGTAATATGCCTGGCCATTGGTTCCTTCTCAAAAGCTTTAGGCCTCAGAAGGGAGGAGAATCATGGACCAGATGGACAGGTACCCTCTCCTGTGATCAAAGGGAAGGGCCAGGTATCTCCTACTTACCTTCCCCCTGGCCTGGACTCAGTCTGGATAGAGATGGACCCAACAACAGCTCTCAGCTCTGCCTGACTACAGAGCCCAGTGGGGCCAGAAAGGAGGGGGGTGGAGGCACTGTCCCTGGCTGTTCCTGCATGGGGCCTCTCTCTTGCATTCTCTTCTGGATCGGAGGCTGCTGCCTGCCCTCCATCTCGCCTAGGCAAGCTCCCATTGTTTCCAGGAGAAGGCAGTAAGTGTCCTTCCATCAAACCTCTCTGTTGCCACTCCCATGGAGAGGCCCCGTTTCCCAGGGCAGAGCCAGGATCCCAGGAAACATGGAAGGTGGCCCTGAAGGATAAGGAGCAGGAGAGACTAAATGGACATTCCCAGCCCTGCTCTCTCTTGCTACCCTCAGTCTCCCCTACTTAGTAGGAAACAATGGTGTCCCCGGGTACCTGGGGCCAGGGGCAGCCTGACGTCTTTACTCATCCATCTGTCCTTTTTCCCTGGGACACCTGAAAGTGGTGGCTTATGGGAACAATGTTCCTTATGCTTAGACTCTGCTCTGGGATTCCTGACATTACTCCTGCAGATGGGGGTGGGAGGCCCAGAGGAGCTGCTGCAACGTGGCTCTACTAAGGGGACTGTTTCATTGTCACCACCATTTCCAGGCTGCACCCCACCCTGCCAGGCAAACAGACATCTCCTGTCCCCCTCCCCATCCTCGGCCCTGCCCCACAGGCCGGATTTCCTGGGCAAGGTCACTCAGTCGCTGGAGCCCAATAAAACCCACTGATGCGGAGAGAGCCATAAAGAAGATCAGCAGACCGTCACAGTGGCCCCAGGATGTTTGCTTTGGGTTACCCCTGCAATTCTCCGTGACCGCAGTGGAGGACATCCCAGTGCTCATAGTGCCCAGGGCCTGTGTGTTTTCTGGACACCCACCAGGCCTTTAATAAAGGTGCATTTGGACTGTTCAGGGTCTTGTCTCCTCTAGCCATCTATGCTGGTCAAGTGTGGACCTCCCAGAGTAGTCCACTCGTTTCTCAATCCTGGGTCTTTCCCTTCCATGCTCCCTAGTCAGGAACCAGTCTGGTGTTACTGCCCCAGCCCTTGCCAGGGACATCGTGTTAGCCTCTCAGCACCTTGAGAGCCCCATCTCACTCAAACATCTTGCCCAGACCACCTCCTGCCCCATCCTGGTAGCCTAGCACCTGTACACTAGCCACATCCTGGCTTCCCTCCTTTAGTGTCGTCTCAGCTCAGCCTTACTTGCTGGTGACCCACGACGAGACCCTTAAGGGAGAGTTGGGGCTGTACCTATTCCTCTTTCCCGCAGCAACCTGTCCCTGACACCCTGCCTATTCGGATAGGAGGGTGCATTTGCCTGTGCTCCTTGGCCTCTGAGACACATGTGGTTCTCTCTGTTAGAACATTCTTCCAGCATAGCTTAGGGAAGCATAGGAACTGACTGATGCCTGCCTATGGGGTCACTATGGGCAGAACACCAGGGAGGATTGGAAAGGGCCATGGGCAGTGTGGACCAGTCGTTTGGGTCTGGGGGCAGAGATGGCATGCACTTGACCATCAAGTGGTCCATGGAATGGGTAAAAGTCACAAGAGTGCCGTAAGGCCAGACTGCGGTCCTGTTGGGGTGTGACCCTGGACTGGGGTACAAAGGGAATGAGTTCCCTGGTGCTGGGACCTAGATGCTGCTGCCCGCCATATGGGCTTCAGGCTGGCAAGGTAGGGAACAGTGTGCCCAGAGGTATAAGGGAAAGTTCCAGGACCATGGATAATCTCCCTCCATCCATTTCTATGTCTAACTCCATGGCACATGTTGGCGCCTTGCTCTCTACAAGAGTGTGCTGTCTGTCTGTCATGTCTGTACCTCTGAGAACACTTTTGTTTGGTCAGGAACCCTCCTCACCAAAATTGTTAGCAGAGACCTGATCCCTCTGTTTACCCTCAGGAGCCCTTTGGTATGATTGCCCTTTGTGGCACAATCCCAGGAGGCCCAATGGTGGGCAGAGGCTGAGGGGTAAAGTGGCCTCTGTTTCCTCTGGAAACACTCCTCTTTGGGATGCTGACATTGGTGGGTGGGGTGGGTTTTGTCACCGGCTCCTGAGAACCGAGTCCAGAACCTCCAGCAAGAAGTGTCCCCTACCTTCCTCACCTGAGGTCAATTCTCTGGCAGCTGATGATACTGCATCTATGGTGTTCTCGGCTCTGACTGGCTTCACTTGGCTCCACAGACAATATTTGCTTTGGTAAAAAATCAAACACTTTATTTTCTAATTTATTCAGGGGCAGGTTGTCAGACACAAGTACCCTCATTATGAGGGATGAGCTTCTAGGCTTGGCATCTGTCTAGGGAGGGGTCATATTTGAGACCCGGCCCCTTCCCACAGCCTTCCTCTGCCCAGTCCTGCTGGCCTGGCATCTGAACTCTCCTAGGGAGCCAGGCATGGCCAGGCAGGGCTGCCAGAGCAGGGGGATAATGGGATTAACTTCTTTCTCCAGCTTCAGAAAGGCCTAAGGGTGCACTGGGGACCCCAGCAAGCTGTGGACATGCGGCTCTTTGTGCACACTCTGAGTCAGGAGTAGAGAAGCTGCTGGAGGCTGAGAGGGATCACAGGGTCCTCAGGGACTCAGCCCTCTCTGGCGCTGGCATTTGCACACTCTCACATGGTAGGTCTTTCCAGGATGTGCTGTTTGCTCTGGGAGCAGTTCCTGCCTGATACCTGCTCACTTTGCCCCCTCTCCAAGAACAGAGTCCTGGTCTTAAGGAGAAGGAGGGCTATTAAGTCCCCAGTGTGTCCCCAACCTCTGAACCTCAGGGATGCCTCTGTAGAGTCTTTCCCCAGGGCCATCCTTACCGGGCCACTCTGAATAGACCGGATCCTGGAGAGTCTATTCCTCTTCTCACTCTTCACTGTGCGTCTGCCCGACACAGCCACCCCACTGTGGAAGCCAAGGCCTCAGTTTCTTCATGCTGGAGAGAGACGGGGAAGGCCAGAGGAGCGCCCCAGAGTAGGGTTTTTGTCTCTGTCCCAGGACCAGTCCAGCGGCTTCTTCTATTGCCTCAAAGTACATGCAGCTGCAAGATGACAGAGGCCTAGGACTGTGAGCAGAGGCCAGGGCCAAGCACACACCAGTGCTTTTCATTTGGCTGCCATGAGGACCAGAACACGGATGCAGCAGTGATTGAGGGCCCAGAACAGTTTCAGGGCAGGCAGGCGCCAGCACAAACCAACAGTATCTCCTGGCTTCCTCCTGGGAAATCGCTTCTCGGCCTGAGGGGCTGACAAGGGGGTGAAGGTGCCTGAATATTTCCTGGGGGAGGGCAATATCCAGCCCTTCCTCCCTGCCAAGCCAGTCTCATGATCTCCAAACTCTCAGACCCTGGCCTGGCAGAACATTTTGGTGAAAGAGATGGTCAGTCACCACAGGGCACCAGCTGTGTCTACCCATAGCTTAGCCCCAGGCAGCTCTCTTCACACTGCCGCCGAGGGGAGTCCAACTTGCAGACCTGGGGACAAGAGCATCTCAGCACACCCACATCCCAGAAGACATCAGCAGGACCCGGGTGCTGCTGGGACTCAAAGCCTGCTGGTCTGCATGAGTCCATTGGCCTCACAGCTGCGTGTGGGCAGTGTGGCCTGTGGCCGTCCACTCTTGTCTGGACGTGGCTCTATGGCATCTGCATCCTCCATACCATATCCTCTACGTAGGCACAGAACCTTCCGGAAGCTCTGGCGGAAGTTATCAGAGAGGAAGCCATAGAGCAGGGGATTGGCACAGCTGTTGGCGTAAGACAGGACCACCACGAAGAAGTAGAGGCCAGCAGAGGCCGGTTCCTCTGGTAGTGTAAAGGCCAGGTTGACAATGTTGACAATGAAGAAAGGCAGCCAGCAGCCCACGAACACCAGCACCACCACCACCACCATGCGAGTCACCTTGCGCTCTGAGCGCCGTCGCCGAGAGGAGCCTACACGCACACCTGCAGCCTTCACCTTCACCACAATGAGCAGGTAGCACAAACAGATGACCAGCAGGGGCCCAAAGAAGCCCAGGACAGATGTGTAGGTGATGAAGGCCGCGCCCCACAGTTCCACGGGCTCCGGCCAGCTTAGGTTGCAGGTGCCCCAGCCCTCCTGGACATCTGCGAAGACCAAGAGTGGCAGAGACATGAGCAGTGAGAAGACCCAGACAGCAGCGCTGGCCAGCTTGGCGACCCGTGGGCGACGCCACCGGGCTGAGCGGAGAGGGTGGACCACAGCCAGGTAGCGGTCAACACTCATGACCATCAGGCAGAAGACGCTGGTGAACTGGTTGATGCCATCCAGCGTCATAACCAGGCGGCACAGGAAGGGGCCAAAGGGCCAGTAGGAGACGGCGTTCTGTGTAGCCAGGAAGGGAAGCCCCAGCATAAGCAGTACGTCAGCCACAGCCAGGTTGAGGATGTACACATTCGTGACTGTCTTCATCTTGGCATGCCGCAGCACCACATAGATGACCAGTGTATTTCCACCCAGCCCTACCGTACACACCAGCAAGTAGAGCACAGGCACTAGTACGGCCCGGGCTCCCATCGATGATACTGGGCTCACCAGTGACCAGTTCTGGTTACTACTGGAAGCGGCTGAGGCATTCCAGCTGAGTGTGGGAGCTGGGAAGAGGGGCTCCATGCTGCCAGCTTCAGGCCAGGCACCAGCCCACCTGGGTCTCTGCAAGAGAGGAGGATGTCACGAGTGGGCACATTCGGGCATTCCTTCCTCCAGCTATCCCCAGCCCGGCTGCCCGACGGCGGTGGGTAAACACCATTAGTCATGTTCAACTTGGTCGGGAATTGCATTAAGCAAATTGTTTGGAAAACAAGCTGGAGAGAGAGAAGAAGCCGCTGTGGGGACAAGAGGGTAGGTGGCTCAGTGAGCCAAGAGGAGTGTTACCTGCCAATACTGATACTACAGTGGCTGCCCTGTGACCTGCAACCTGTGACTTCCCACCACCCGGCTTGGCCTACTATCCAGCACCCTCTCTCGAAACCTCTCCAAACCCTGGAGGGCAGCATTTCAGGAAAGCAACATAAGCTCAGTGGGTATCACCTTCCAGGAGTCCCCAAACTATGAGGAGAAGTAGCTGATGGAGAAGGACGGGGAGGCTGAGGTACCACTGCTGCCGTAAGCCGGTCATACCCAGCACATGTGGCACCCTAGGCCTGCTCTGCCAGTAAGCTGAAGGCTGGATCTCTCTGGGGTGGGCTTTTCCTCCACAGGAGCTCCTAGGGAATTCTGTCCCCAGCAGACAGTTTCTACCCCCAGCATGGCCTGAGCCTCTAAGCAGCGGTGGTACCCCCAGAGGTCCTTGTACTACAGAGTGGCTGGCTCACTTCTCACCGAGGACACCTGGCTGAGGGTACTGCCTGCCCAGGGCAAAGGTCTGCCTCTTGCTCAGCAATGGCAGATACCCTTAAGCCCGGGCTTAGTACACAGTGTAGAACTGGAAGGTGCCTAGTGCAGAGAGGGCAAACATACGGAACAGACATAACAGCCAACAGGAATGCATCAGGCTGTGGGCATAGCATAGGAGGGGGCACGCAGCCCAGCACACGGCAGGGCCAGGAGAGCTAGAGTCTGGGAAGCGGGGTGAGGTCCCTGCACGGGCTTTGTGCAGAAAGCAGAGAGGCAGTTGTGGGAGGACAGTGTCTGGCAGATGAGTGGCAGGTGCACACACTCTCACTTGCTTTGTGTTTCTCTGTGTTTGACGTCCTTCATAAAAGCGAAGACGCCCAAGAGGAAATAAACACCTCTGCTGCCGGGAAAGAAAGAGATGGGCAGGACTGGTGTCTATGGTTGGGCAACCAGCAAGGAACCGAAGTACTTGGAGGATACAGGTCAGGGTCAGGCCATGGGGAGGCAGGAGCCCTCAGCCTGAGCCAGGCTGTCCACTAGCTACGCCACCCCCAGAAACTTGGGCATGCTCAGCTGATCTGTAGTGGCCTGAACCATAGCAAGACATGGGACACTCCAACAGATGTAAGGGCGGGACCCAGTTGTGGGGTGACCAGGACCAAGCAGGGGCAACTGCAATCTGGAGAACAAGGAAAGGCAGGCTGGAATGTGGGGATCCTAGCGTGAACAGCAGCAGCAACAACAAGGAAATGAAAATGCTCCTCTTCATAAGCCAATGCACCAAAGTCCAAGTTCTCAAGGCTCAAGGATGCCAAGGAGTATGATCTGGAAAACCCAGGAGAAGGGGACCAGCAGTGAATTCACCTGGAAAAGTTGAAATAAAATAAGACTATTTAACTAGTATACCTAGAGCATGTTTTGGTAAGTGTTAAGATCTTTGAGTAAAGCATGGATAAAATATTATGAGGAGAAGGAGTAAATAGAGCAGGTCCCCCTACTTTGAAGTCACAGAACTTGAGCATGAAAAATAGTCATTTAGTGCTAGGAAAGGCATCCGTCAGTGACGAGTGTAGGCTGTTCTTGCAGAGACCCAAGTTTGATTTCCGCATTTATGCTGGGCAGCTCACAACTACCTGTAACACCAGCTCCAGGGGGATCAGATACCTCTGCCCTCCATGAACATCTGCACTTACATGCACACAACCACACATAGACAGACATGATGTAAAACAATTTTTTTAAAATGCAGTCATCTAGATAAACCTTAAAACAAACAGTCTAGATAGTGTCGAGAGAATTGGCAAAATAGAAGACATTGAGAGATGCTGAGACGATGCATACACAGAAATAACACAAGGACAAGGCGGGATGAGGCTTCAGCTCTCAGAGACACCACCTCCTGGCTAACCATGTCTCCAGTAGGTTAGGTCGCAATGCACCAGCATCACCACTGAGCTGAAGAAAGTCCCAAAGGGTATCGGTAGGACACATGGAAACACCACAAACATTGCCAATGGTAATGCTGTTCCATCAGCAAAAATAAGGCAAGAGGCACACGGCAAACCTTATTTAATAAAGAAGGCCAAGGGTAGGGCTGGGGATGTAGAGTGATTGCCTAGCATGCATGGTTACCTGGGTTCAATTGCTAGCAATGCATAAAACCAGCTGTCCTAGCACAGGCTTGTGATTCCAGCACTTGAAAGAGGTCGAGGCAGAGGATTAGAAGTTCAAGATCATTTCTGATTAGATACTAAGTATTTTTGCCAGCCTGTGATACATAAGACCTGGCATTAAGAAAGGAGAAAGGCTGAAGATGGCTTAGTGTTTGAGAGCAATGGCTGTTCTTCCAGAGGAACCCAGTTTCGATTCTCAGCACTCACATGACAGCTTACAACTGTCTATAACTCCAGTCCCAGGATACCTGAAGCCCTCTTCTGGTCTCTACACTCACAACACTGCACACATGTGGTACATAGACATACACGAAGGCAAAATACCCATACACATATAAAAAATAACGTTAAAAGACAGTGTTAGGTACGAGATGACTGTAGCTGAGTACCTGATGGAGTTCCTCTGTTGGCATTGAATCCCTAGTCTAGGCAGGTGCTCCTGGATTGGGGACAGGAATAGCTTTAGCTAGGACCCATATCACACATGGCTTCATCAGGAAATCATGGGAACAGCCTTTTCTCAGCCATTTGGACAGGGGCTTCCTTGGAGGCCAGTAGGTGTAACTGCTGATGGGCTCACAGAGGCTGGTCTCAGGAAGTATCTATATGGTACTTTTAAGATGTGCTCACAAGTGCCATGGATCCCTGTAGAGACCTATCCTAAAAAGGACCATGGTTCAGTCAGGAGTAGTGAAATGTCTTTTCACATGGCCAATATGCATGGACCTGCTGCAGAGGGGTCACCTCTCCCCAAGAGACTAAACAAGGGACCTGAAAAGTACTGGATGAAGGTGACAGATCAGCCCCTGAAATTGAGCTATCTGCTGTTGGGGGAAAAGGTTGATGGGCTCAGGGTCTCCCTAACAGGCTCTGGCGTGGAGTAGCAGTTCTGGAACTCATTCTGACCTTAAGTCTAGCTCTCATTTTCTCCGGGATCCTCTGAGATTTCTCTCTGGCCTATCCCTCCTCACTGCTGTCCAGAGCCCAGGAATGGCTTAGCAGGCCACCAACACTTGCTACCTATGCAAACACTTCAACTCCCAATCAGTCTCAGAACTACAAAAAACAAAACAGGCCCAAGAGCTGTGCCTGCCTCTAGAATATAATTCTGCAAGAACCGCTTTTAAAAGAGCAGTCTTCTTATTCACAAGAATTACGTGTTCACGGGAAAATTGCCCCTTAGGCCATTTTAACTGTGGGAGGGAGGAGCGAAGGAGGGGGTTTCACACTCAGAGTCCAACTAAAGACCTGCTTACACAACACCACCCTCCAGTGCCATCATCCCCAGCAGGGCCTGGTCCCTACCCCAAATACCTGCCCTTGATATTCCCCACCTTGGCACTTCCTTGAGCCCAGGCTTCAGATGTAAGCAAGTCTGTACACATGTAGAATTGCCGGAGAGATGAATTAACTGGACACTGACTCATCTGGAGATACAAGTGTCAAGTCTCCATGCTGCGTGCTTCTGGCCCCCTCCTGCTTTGCTGAGGTTGGGACTGGAGTCACACAATCCACCCCCACCCACAGGCATTAGTGACACCTTTCCTGCTGCCTTTTCCCAAATACACTCCACCTCTGAACACTTCTGGAGGCAGCTTGTGCCAGGGCAGGGGGAAAGGGAAGTAGGCTTAGGACCCGGCCAGAGGCTAGGACTGCCCAATCCTGAGAAAGAGCTCAGGTGGGTCTCCCTACCCTGAAGGAGGTTATTTCCATCCCTGGCCCATTTCCTCAGAAATCTGGGCCTTTGCTTTATGGGGAACCCCATGCCAGCTTATGGTCGGTCATTGGTGCTCCTGGAGGCTCCTGTGCATCCCACCTGACCCTGCAACGTGTTCTGTTGCTCAGCAACAGTTCCATGTCTGACTTTGGGCACCTAGGTTCTGCCTAACTCACACAACCACAACAGGTGGCAGGGAGAGGAGGGCCCCTACACACCAAGGAAAGTTCCAAGGGGTTCTCGATCCCACGGAGGGGTGGGATCGCTGGAGGACCGGTGGACTCCAGGACACAAATGCCCCTCCCTAACCGTGTGGGGACTCGGTTCCCAGCGGGCAGGGATGTACCCAGACTCCCTTCGCGCAATCAAGCAATCACGGGAACCCCAGATCCGGTAGGGCGTCTATGTGTGCCAGGCCACAGCTCCATGCTGGCCACCAGCAGACCTGAATACCCAAGCCCCTGCTTCTCCCAGACCGTCTCCCACCCCGGGAGTCCAGAAGCAGACCTCCTAGCCTGCCTGATGCCCCCTCTGCGCCCTCCCACCTTCCCTCCGAGCCCGTGGCTCCTGAGGCCTCCGCGTTTGTCCAGTCTGCAACCCTCCCTGTGGCGCGCGCCATGGAGAGATCAGACTCGAGGGTGCATGAGCATAGGGAGACATCTGGGTCCCTTGTGGCTTCTGACCTGACCCAGGAACTCCGGGTCTCCGAGGCCGGCGGGTCGCGAGAGAAAAGGCAGAGAGGAATGCAGCTCCGAGGTTGGGGAGAGGACGCCAACGGGACAGGGTCAGAGGCAGGTGACCCCCCCCCCCCGGGAGATGCCCAGGGGAGCTTGGGGATCCTGTGCGTCGCAGGCAGGGTCCGAATGGCGGGACCCCAGACCCGGGCTGTGTGCAAAGACAGCGGGAGGAAGCGACAGACCTGTGCGGGACAGGGTGCCTACGCCGGAGACGGCGGGCACAACGGTGGCACTTCGCGACCGGCAGCGCCCTCGGGCTCCAAGAGCAGTGCACTCACGCAATTGCAGTAGGAGGTCGGCGCCCGCCCTCAGGCTAGGGGGAGGGAGAGGGTGGAAGAGATGGAGGGGGCGGGGCGAGGCAGGGCGGGGCGAGTGCCTCGGGTAGGGTGGGGAGGCGGGGTAAGGAGGGGCGAGCTCCCGTAGGCAGAGCAAGAAAGGGGGTTTCTGGGAGGAGCGGGGGTCTGGGCAGTAGAGTCGGGTTGTCTGGATGAGACTCTCGTCTGGGTAACTTCGTCTGCCTAGCTCCCTTCCCTGTATGTCCCGAGTCACACATGTCTATCCGTCTTCGAAACCTTTTCTCAGCTTTAGTA